GCTTGTTAAACAATCTTGCATTGAATTGGACATAGACTAGACTGTTTAGCCTATTCACATCTAGCCTATTTCTTTTCTTTGTGTGTATCTACAACAGAAAAAGTGACATTTAATTAGATATAATATCAGTCTTCGAACATATTTCAAATAAGTAACTAATACACTAACCGCTTCAAAGCTGCTCCAGTTTCTTTCACATCCGGAGGAACTAGATGTCAAAGCAAGGATCCTTGTTGCTAACTTCTGCAGATGTGGTGTACCACATCCATACGTAGACCACCAATTTCCTGAGATTAAACAAGTTGAATGAGAGATAGTTAAAGTCATCTTATGTAAAATATACTTCTTAAACAAAGATATTTAAAATGCAAAACAAACCTGGATCAAATTTGTCCTTTTTCTCACAGCCCATCATTGCCAAGTTTCTACCAAAAGAGCCACTTTTTCTCTTGTATAGATTAACTTCATGATTGACAACTGAATTCTGTTTTTCAAAATCACCATGATAGAATGTCTCTACACACATGATGAATCCGTCCATAACCTCCAAGTCAAACTGAATATTGGGGTCTTTGTAGAAGTAGAATGGAATGAGGAAATAAGCAGCCATATGCAAAGGAGAATCCAACCTACCTTTCATCTTCTCATCAATGATCTTAAAGATAGGTTGGTAGTTCTTCTCTAAGTGATCAGTAGCTTCTTTGGTAGAATTCTTAGCTGCTAAGAGCTCGCCATAAATAAAACCAAGAGAAGGAATTTTCTCTCCATCAGCAAGTCTTAGAACCTTCACCATTGGGCTAAATACTTTCAAAACAGTGGAAACATTGTAGCCCCTGGTCTCACAATATCTCTCCTTGTATATGTTCTCATCATGTTTAATGTTGTATGATGAGCATACACAAATATTGTGAGTACTTTTGCTTGCTCTATAACTTTAGCAAAACCCGGCAGCTTGGAAACTCCCTCAAGCATCAAATCAAGAGTATGAGCAGCACATCCAGTCCAAAAGATATTTGGTCTCTTCTCTTTAAGAAGCCTAGCAGCAGCTACATTGTTGGTGGATTTATCTGTGACGACTTGCACAACTTTCTCAGCCCCTAAATCGCCAATACATTTGTCAATGTAGCTGAAGATATACTCACCTGTGTGTGAATCTTTAGAAGTGTCCTTTGAAGAAAGGAAGCATGTACCCCCTCTTGAATTAACACACAGATTCATGATGCTTTGTTTCTTTCTATCAGTCCACGCATCTGTCATAACCGAGCAACCTTCTCTATCCCATTCCTCTTCCAGAGTCTTTAGCTTTTCTTTTGTGCTTTGCTTTTCTTCATTTAGCAAAGGTTCTCTCAGCTGATATTGTGTTGGAGGTATCCACCCAGGTCCAAACTGCCCTAAAGCTTGGCAGAATAACCTAAACGACTCATTGTCAATGGCATTAAATGGGATATTTGACTGATAGATCCATCGAGCACAAAACTGGTGGACAGCATGTGTCTTCGCCTTTGAAATAGCATCATGGAGATTCTGTTGTCTTGTCTTTCCAGCCGAGACTTCAGGATTAATGGGGGTCGCAAACTGATCAATAGGACCTTGGAAGTGGGGATTTTTAAAAGTTCCAAGCTCTTTTTCTAGTTGTTCAATGACAGTATCCTTGCTTATATCAACCTCTGCCCTCAAAGCTTCCTCATGTTTCCTCTTCATATATTTTTTGTTCTTAGTTTCAGCTAAAGCCTTCTTACACTTCTCTTGATCTTCTTTAGTTGACTTTGGACAAGCTGCAACGTTTCCTTTCAGATGACCAATGTGCTCATTCATTCTGAATATAACTCTTTTCCACACAATAAACATTTGACTTTGTCAGGAAATCGTGCATCACACAAAACTCCATATTCCCATCCTACATCATTAGAGTTTCTCTTAAGGCGTGGAGGTGAATCTGTTGGAGGAATATCCATTCTTTTTAACCTGAATAATCAAGCCACATATAGACAAATTACAAGTCAAAATTAAACTCACAAATTTAAACGAGTTAATATAAATTTTTTGTCAACTTTAATAAGAGTTGTCGAGTTCTTAGTATAATCTTGTAAGTTGAACAAAAAAGAAGGTATAATCTTGTAAATAAAAAGAGATAAAGACAAGAGACAAAGACAAAATAGACAAAAACAAATTGGTACACAAAGTGATAAATATCCAATCACGTGAACAACTTATACTTCAGTAACAATAATCGACAAAGTCAACTTATATAATAACTTATTAAACTAAACTTTTTGACTGAACTATAAAAGAAACGTCTGTAAGACACGAACCCACAATTTGAGAAGAAGCTTTAGTAACTTAAAACAAGAAGGATTTCGTGTTTATTACCTTGAATCAGGTACAATAAAGATTAGAAATCAATGGATGAATTTGGATTCACTTGAATTGAGGAAGAGCAGTCAAACTAGGGTTATCAAAGCTTCCAAGTTTTGTTGTCGGTAAAGAGATGAATTTTTTTTAACTTTTAGTACTAATGGGCTCTTAGTATTGGGCCAAATTGTATTGAATTAATATGGACGATTTTTTTTTCTGAATTCCACTCCCGTTTACCATTAAAAATCGGTCTCCGCGGGCATTATTCGGTTCGCCGTAGAATTCATCCGAATTGGGTCAACTCGCCTCGGTGAGTACACGATTTACGATTACGCGGCCGATTAATTGGCTAGGCGGCCGCGTTTTTGAACAAGGCATAATACTAATAATAGAAATCAGTAAATAATAAAATATAAACATGCTCACATTTATAACTATATGATTACTTAATATATTTTTAAAAAATTGAGAGTTTAAAAACATGTAAGTAATTAATTTTATTATACATATTTACACCTGACTTTATAATTTAGTGATTAATACATGCAGATTAATATTTAGAAATAGGAATTATGATATGAGTTTTAGAGTTTAATATTTGAATGACTCATTTATCATTTTATGGTATGTTTCATTATATATCAATATATTTGATATATCCAGGAATTAAACATATCTAAAAGCTATTATGTTAACCAATACAAATAATGTAATATTTATAAACATTTCTTTCATTCTTAGCTTTTGTAGTCAGGCGCCTTTAATATTAACCATGCCAACTTCTTCAGACTCGTAGTATTTTTTTTCTAATAAAAAGGTGGATATATTTAGAGAAAATTACATACACATACACTTTTTATCTTTGCAATAACAGTAAGAGGCATTTTTCATTTGCCACACACATTGTGATTGTTGAATGTCTATTCCCGCTTAACATAATCTTTTTTTCTTTATCTCTTATTCCAACCTAAAATAGTGGCTCGTCTTCCTATTCAACTTACTCGAAAAAAACTAAATCACCTAAAGACATAATAATCTATTTTTCTTTTGTCTCTTCTTCTTTCTAAATTTATTTCCTTTGTCGAGTTTCTAAGATCAAATCATATGCATATACAACAACCAATCTAGAAACTAGTCATCCTCCTCACTCTTGTCGATGATATAACTCCATCAATCCTAAAACCCAAAAATTCCAAGCAATCTCTTTTGTATCTTTTCATTTTCCATGTCAAGTACTTTTGTTTCTGTTTCTCCTCTTTAAAATTGATACCTCGGTGATTTTGACTTGCTCGCTCTGTTTCTGGTAATCACAGGTTTCTAAAGTCATGGGATTTTGTTTTCTTCTTTTGAGTGGTTACTCAAATCTAAATTATGTTTCGTTTGAAAGCAATTAGGGACTTTACCCAAATTTCCTCTTCCAGTGATTCTACCTCTCCTCTCTTCTTTCTTCTCTCCCATCTTTATCGAAGTTTTATCTTGTCCACATTTGAGAAATGTTCATCCAAATCTGTCCACTGAGAGCTTGTCTATCAAAATCATGTCCACTTAAAAGGTATTTACAAAATCATAAAATCCACCATGAGACGGTGTGTTGTAAGCTCGTCCACATTTGAACCAAAAAAAAGAAGCTTGTCCATATAAACTACATCCAAGTTCTTTTTACAATCACATTTAGTTTTGTACATTTGTTTTCTTATTGATTCTGAAAAAAAACAGTTTTTCTATTTAATATTATATTGCAAATGTATAAGAAAAATATTAACTTATCAGACTAATAAAAAACATATCAAAAATATATTTAAAAAAATTCTCAACCACTATCCATATCCACAACAATTATTATGCCCAATTCAAAGTACACAACTTCTCAATCCACAAATCATCTATCAAAAATTCATTCATTTTTCATATGTATCCATCATATTTTAGTTTTTTACAAAAGTAATTCATATTTTTGCAATATGAAAGTGGATATCAAAATAAAGATAAAAATAAATTATAATTTATTCTACAAACAAAATATATTTTAGATTTATATATTATTCCAAATTGAACTAAGAAAAATTTGAGGGAAAAGAAAAAGCAAAAATACTAAAACAAGGAATATTGACTATACTCTTATTTTGTGTCAATTATTTTATTTTGATTCCATCGTGACCACACAAAACTAATGATATCATTGTGGACAAGGGAAATAATGTCTAAAATTCAATATTTCTTCACACAAAGTGTGCCTCAAGCACAAAGTGTCCGTGAGTGTAAAATAAACTCAAAATGTATCTCATTATGTAATGCACTCATATATTTAATTATATACAATATATAATTGGTCATTCCCAAAGCACCTTTCTTTTTCCAAGGTATGAATCAAACTAACAGTTATTTGGTTTCATGTCATCCTCAATAAATGATCTTATTTGTTATATAGTACTCCAAATAGAACAACAAAATAAAATACCTTATATAAACCTTTGCTTCTTTAAGTTCCATCTATCTTTTATTTTCATACTCACATCCCTTATTCAAAATCTTTTTACATAGAAAATAATAATAGTATTCGTCTTTGGTTCTTCACACAAAGGGTCCCTTGTTTCTAGCTGATATTTTCATGGGAAAGTCACTTTAAAAAACCGAAAACATCAGCAATGTCGTTGCCTATTTTTCTTTGCCAATTTATAGCATTGACCTTGTTCAACTCTGAGGTGTGTCTGGCCGGGAAGAAGATTCCAGCAAGTTTTGTGTTTGGAGATTCATTAGTGGATGCCGGAAACAACAACTATTTGACCACATTGTCAAAGGCTAATTATGATCCTAATGGGATCGATTTTGGATCGGCTACAGGAAGATTCACAAACGGAAGAACCATCGTCGATATCATAAGTAAGTCATTTATCAATTGTCTTATAATCTTTTGCTTCTTACGAACAATACTTTTGATACTTGTCGTATACTCGAGTTTGCATGCAAAAGTTAAAGCCATATTAATAATTATTGTATTTCATGTTAAAATTATATGTTGACTTTGACCTTCCATTATGAAACAAAACAACATTCAGAACAAATAAAATAATACTCTTACCGTTTCAATATATTTGTTATGGTAGAAAAAAATTATTTCAAAATAAGTGTTATTTCAAAGAAAAAATTATTAACTTTATATGTTATTCTATTTTTATATTGGTTGAAATGTGATTAAGTTTATAAATAATAATATTTTATATAGAAAATCATCAAAATTAAATCTTTTTAATCTATATGCTCAAACATAAAATGACAAATAAAATAAAATGGATGAAGTATGTGATATGACTGGTTTAATTCAGTTTGATTAGAAAAATATATATACCGGTTGTGACACTTTAAACAAAAATAGTTATGACCCTCTTGTGTGCAACATTTTAATAGTTTTACATTTTGGACTTGTTCTTCTTAACCAAAATTACTGAATCAAATTCTGGTTAAGTCAAGTGTTTACTTTTCGGTTAGATAAAAAAATGCTTAAACGGTAATATTGTAAACCGCAGTTCAGGCATTAGGTTCTGAAGAGCTAACTCCACCGTACTTAGCACCCACAACAAGAGGATCCCTCATTGTCAAAGGCGTCAATTATGCTTCCGGAGGAAGTGGAATCCTTAACTCAACCGGAAAATTATTTGTAAGCACATTTTTAAAAAATATTATAACTCAAAACCTTTTATTTGTGTTTATTGTTATAAACAAAAGAATAATTACAGGGTGAGCGGATAAATATAGATGCACAACTAGAAAACTTTGCAACCACTAGACAAGACATCATTTCTTGGATCGGTGAACCTGCGACAGCTAAACTATTCCGGTCAGCTATTTTCTCGGTTACGACCGGTTCTAACGATCTAATCAATAATTATTTCACACCCGTCGTATCAACTGTTGAGCGGAAAGTTGTGCCTCCAGAAGACTTTGTTGATACAATGATCTCAAGATTCAGATTACAACTCACCGTATGTCTCTTCTCTCTGAACCAAACCAAATCAAACCAATTAATTGGTTGATCAAACTAAAATATTAAATCTTTTTGTAGAGATTGTACCAATTGGGTGCAAGGAAAATCGTGGTGATTAATGTAGGTCCGGTTGGTTGCATACCATTTTCAAGAGAGTCTGATCCAACGGCTGGTAATGAATGCTCGGTCAAACCTAATGAAGTGGCACAAATGTATAATGTCCAGCTTAAAACAGTTGTGGATGATTTAAACGCTAGTCTTGAAGGTTCGAGATTCGTATATGCAGATGTTTTTAGAATTTTTTATGATATCATCCAAAACTATGCATCTTACGGTACGTAAATATTTATAACAATTTTCTTAACAATTTCTTTCAAAATTTTAATGTATAGGTTCTATATTATCTTATGTAGGTTTTGAGAGTGAGAAGGTTCCATGTTGTTCGCTGGTTGGGAAAGTAGGTGGGCTTATACCATGTGGATCATCTTCTAAAGTATGCATGGATCGTTCTAAATACGTATTTTGGGATCCTTACCATCCTACAGAAACTGCTAACATCATCATTGCCCGACGCCTCCTCTCCGGCGATACCTCTGATATATTTCCGATTAATATTCGGCAACTCGCTAACCTTAAGCTGAACACATAAATCTTGGAGATAAAAGCCCATGCAGATGGGGTTGCACGGGTATCTACTGTGGTTAGCATTTTGATCTAGTTAATTTTTTGTTTATTTTAATATTTTGTCTAATCTCTCAAAGAAATTAGAAACGATTAATGTAGCTGGCTTTTATTGTTTCACTATATTTTCTCAGTATGTAATGTTGCTGGTTAGTAATCTTTGGAATAAAAAAAATATTTTGGATGTCATTTTTACTTTATCACAAGTGTAAGGGTGAATTAGCTAACATACATTAATATGAATAGAAATTAAGTGAATAACCATCTATAAAAAGGTAAGCACGGATGTAGCAATTTCGTCCAACACTGGACACTTCACTCGTTTCCTGCGCGTGAAAGTGACACATAAGCTGTATGTACTATTGTATACTATATTTATTAAATAAGTAGTATAGAACAATCGATTCATATTAATATTATGCCAACAAACATAATACATATTGGATGGAGACAAACATAGATGAGAAGACAGTTGTGGAAATGAAACAATCGCTGGTGAGAAAGGAGGAGAAGGAGGAGGAGACGTAGGAGGAAAAGGGGAAAAGGTTGTTGTTGATACACAAGGTGGAGGAGAAGACGAGAGAGGGGGAGTAGGGGATGCTGTTGTTGGTACATGATGTGGAGGAGAACACAACAAAACAATACATATTTCATTGTTGATCTTCTTCGATCATTTTGGTCATTGCGCCGCTTTTCTCTGAGGAATAAGTTAAGTTTAGAAACACAATTGATAAAATTGAATTAAGAATCGAAGCAAAACCAAGCTTAAACTAAGAAGATTAAGTTACTCTGAAGTTTCATATTTTATGGCTTTATAATAGAACAAAAAACATGAAAACATGACATAGTGTATACATCTTCTATGATTATTTTTAGTAACTCGGTTTTTTTAAAATGAGGAGTTAAGATTAGAAACTCAACTGATAAATTGGAATTACGAACCAAAGGAAAACCAAACTTTGCAAAAAGGATTTTGGTATTATGAAGTTGTTATGAATATTGTGGTGATGTCCTTATGGAAAATCTTAATATTTGTTCCCTACTCCAAATTATAATTTATCTCCAAGCTATTGTAACTCTATATAAATGATCTTTTTACTCATGAATAATATACATCAATTCCCTCTCTTCTCTTCTCTATTTATAACACGTTATCAGCATGAAGCTCTAGGGATCTTGAGCTAATATGTATATATTTTTATTATGTTTTATTTTTAGTCTATATACAATCTTTTCTCAAATCATGTTTATTAACAATTCATAGTTTGTTAGAATGGATTTATACACAATATGAGTTTAGGAGCTTTAGTCGACAATACTGATTAGCTTTGTTCCAAGGAAAGAAAATCAAATGATCAATGATCTTGTCGATGTTTATAAGCTGATGCTCAATCTGATAATGATTACGTTCGTATTTGTTCGTATAAATGATTTTAATAAATTTTCTTCACGAGTTCTATTTGGTAATTTACTTTAAGTTTATAAAATTAGTTTTATTGCTTATAAATGTTGTTACCTACGTTAATTACATATCTCATTATTGAGTTCACATGTTTATATGCTTATTTTTTTCTAAAACCTATCTCACTGCTGATTCATCTTTAGTGAATGGAACAGTATAGTTCGCTCTTGACTGTTCAAAATCTGAGAAAATAATAATTTAGTATCGATGTCGACTGTTCTTTAATTGTTAGTAATATTAGTCTAATGGAAATGTTTTCATGAGCAATATTAAAAAAAAAAAAAGTTGCTCTGTATAAAAAAGAAATTTTTGCTTGAGATTGTAACTAGCTGGAAAATATAAAGTGTTTCAACAGCATTCAAACGCCACATCTCCTATTTCCACTTATTGAGATAAGTTTTTTTTCTTCATGCTTCATATACAATATACAAGGTTAATTAAAATTTATTATGTAAAATATTTACATGAAATTTAATACGTGTAATAATTTATTTAGTAAATTGATTTATTGAAATCAAACCTTGTTAAAGAGTATAAAAGTCTAGTCCATATAATCATTACTGTAAAGTATTATTTATTTCTTGATATAATAATATGCTTATGATAATACACATCTCTATATAATTTGAAATATTTTCTTTATATTTCTTTACTATTATATATATGAGAGTTTTAAGTTTAAAATTTGACCTTAAAGATCCAAAAAGTTTGAAAAAAAAATCCAAAGAAAAGTATAATCACCAGAATGTGATTTTTTAAAGTTCATTATGGATTTTTGCATCTAAAAATTATCATACCTGAAGTATGTTAATGAGTACTCTGTTGAGAATATCAATGATGCAATAATACTAAAGAATATATATTTTCTTACAAGTAATGTTGTCCAGCAGAACTTTCATGAAACAAAAGTCGAAGCAAATTCTCCCAACTAAAAAACTTTCTCCCAAAACAAAATAGTAATATTCTTTGATTTAACAAAAAATAAATTCCAACTTTAAATTATCTGATGAATCTCAAAATCAACTCAAAATTCAGGGTTAAGGTTTTGATAACGTGAATAAGAAAAAAGCTAAAAAAAGTATATAGATTGATGACTTCCTTTGAAAATGTGTATTTGATTGATAATACGATTGAGAATACAGTGATGGTAAAAATATAGTATCTAGAACAAGAGAGTATAAAAATATTGAAAATATAGGCTACTAAGATCTACCTTATATTGATCTATTTTCAGAAGAAACTTAAATATTGACAGCATTACAAATTATAATTACTTATTTGGATGAACAAAAAAATGGCTAAAAGAAAATCTTTGTGCATTATAGATATTTCCATATGGAGTTTCTTGAATTTTTATTTTGTCTTCATTAGATAGGGAACACCCCTAAACTATCTTCGATTCACAAAAATGCCATAGTTTCATAATAGTTGTCGTTAGACATTTTCCTTAGTTTTCAATACAAATGGCGAAGATTTTTATGATATAAATCCAACCTAGGAATATAGTCATGAATGTAGGATTCGATGACTGATTTACTGTAGACAATTTTCTATGTTTTTTTGCTGGCAAGAAATTTCATCTCGAACATTGAATTTTGCTGGCCTAATGAGCCTAGGTACATAGTGTTTTGATAATTATATGCCATACAATAACTGAATCAGATGGACGACTGAGATTCCATAAAATACTAAGTCAATTTTGGTGTGTCTTTTCTAAATATCTAAAACACACAAAGAGATAAAAAAAGCATTGAGAAGAAATAAATCTTTAGTAGCAGATCAAAAGACAAGTTCTCGTCTTGGTTTCATATTAGGGGGGGTGGTTGTATATTTGTGAAAAAGTTGAAGTTTCTTTTCAATGTTTTCTCCACATATTTTCAAATGGATTTGAGTAATTTCTCAAAATATTGAAATGTTTCCAAATGCTTTTTTCTTCTCGTATATAGGTTTTGAAAATGGGTCCGTGTAATGTTTTGAAGCAAAGTTTAGATCATTCGTATATATTGAGTCATAATGAGTTTGTGTGAGCAAATATTAGATATTTCCTGTATTTTTAACATATTCTTAGGAAAAGATTAATTTTCTCATAGTTTTAAAAACTGAGGTTTGAATAATTCATCATCCATTAGTAGTAAAACATCTTAAAGCGGTTTCATATGGATTATGCATATTTGTGAATAAGTTGAATTTTTTGATTGTTTTCGTTCACAGATTTTTAAATAGGTTTGAATAATTTTTAGAAAAGTTAAAATCTTTACAGATACTCTCTCTCTCTCTCTCTCTCTCTCTCTCTCTCTCTCTCTCTCTCTCTCTCTCTCTCTC